TCAGGCGTTTAGGGACCACAGTCCAGGACACTGCTTGTCTTCTCAAACGGCTCACACACACCATCCCCATCGTGCACATAGCACAGGCTTGGCTCGCCTGTAAGGAATGACCTGTTTATGAACCAGGCTCCAGGCACATGCATCTCCACGTCCTCCTCCTGGGAGGCATGCTGGCTGTTTAACCCTGGGATTTCCCACCACAGGGACCTGACAAGATTTGTGGATCACTCCAGCTGCAAATCCACATTTTGTTGTGATGAGGTGCATCACTCTCTGCTCTGAGGAGCAGTGTGAATAACGTACAGTTCTGACTCCTGCCTCAAAAGGAGGTCACAATCCATTTGGACTCACCAACACAGTTGAAGCCTTTTTCCTTTTTACACTTCCTGGAACAGCCATCTCCATCCAGCAAGTCCCCATCATCGCATTCCTCCTCCAGGCTCCTAAGAGGACAACATGTTAATAATGCCCTTGACTGAACACTCCTGTGCTTCTGCCCAATTGTGACTGAGGACCCCATATCCTGGTTCCATTTCCACAAAAGCAGGGAGAAGAGGAATAACTACATGTGGAGTAAGGTAGAGAAGAGAAAACACTGTATCTTGCCAGGGGATAAAAAGGTTGAAAACAGAGCATATGGCAGAAGGTGTGACTGTACTGTGACTTCTTTATAAGACCTGAGACAAGAACTATGGGAGAAAATGAAGCTATATGCAACAGAGGAAGTAGAGAACCAAGTATTAGGAAGATTTGCTGCTGGAAAAAGCAAGTGTTGGAAAGGGGAGGAGGTTGTGAGATGGGGCTGGTGTTTCAGTGGGAGCTGCAGAAGGGAGAGAGAAAAGTTTAGCCCAGGAGGAGTCAAAAATCAGCCCCCAGCTGACATGCATGGCATCTCATGAGGAAAAACAGCCCAGGCAGTTTCCTTTAAAAGGTTCTGTCCCCATACTGCAGAAAATAGACCTGATAAGAGAAGCTGGCAGAAATGCCTTGATTCATACCTATTCTTTTGTGCACAGTTACATACCCCAAAACTCAAGGAGAAAAAACCCAAAACCTTCTGATGCACATCCTTGGGGCAGGATGACATGACAGCTTAAAGAACCTCAGCTGAGAGCTTGAGTTTCTTGACTTACGTGGTCACCTTCCCATCCCCGCAGTAGGGTGCTCCATGGACATGGACAAGCGGTGGGGAGGCTTCTCCTGAGGTTGCCCCAGACACTGCCTGTACCTGGTATTGGTACACCTGCCCAGGCATGACTTCTCTGCAAGAACAGAGAAGACTCGATGAAAGAGCAGGAGTGAACAGCTCATACATCTGCAACAGATTTGTTCACCACAGCTATAGAAACCATATGTGTGTGCCCATGCAGTATCACAGTCTGACCTACCTCTTTGTACTCTAAACTGCCAGAGGCAGAGACTGTGGAAAGAGGGTCTCTGCCAGGTCGTGCAGAGGGCCCAGCTGCTTATTTCCCTAGGGTCTGAGCTGGGGAGAAGTGGCATTAACTCAAACAATAATTTTCCTGGTTGTGTTGATGGAGAAAACATTTCTGGGTTAATAAGCTCCTTCTAGGAGCTGGGCTCATGGGCAAAGGTTATGCTAGCATGGTGGGTCTGCAACAAGCTTCCTCAGTGCTGAATAGAGAATCCACTTGTGGCATTGAATGTCATAATTCCTGAGGTGGGGAGGGGAGGAACAAAACACAAGAAACACCATCCATGGATTCAAAGGCAGGACTAGAGAAGGTCATCAAAACTGTCCCAGCCACCCATAAGAGAGCAGCCTTGACACTCACGTGTCAACGAACAGGCGGTGTGCCTGTGGTGGGGTGGCGGGGGATCCGTTTGCGAACGGGGGGTCACGGAGGACTCGGTACTGGATCAGCTTGCAGGCAGAGCAAAGAGAGCTGTGGGGCATGGAGGTCAGCAGGGCCGTGTCTATCTCCATCCTCTCGTCAAAGGTGTAGATTCTGACTGCAGACATCTTTTTAGGGATGTTAAGCTTCACAGTAAAGGGAACATCACAGAAGGTGTCCAGGGGGCCCAAATGGATGGACTCCCCATGCTCTGTCAGGATTTCAATGTCAGACAGCGACTTTGGAGAGCCTGTGGAGAGGTACGTGGTCCAGAGGGTGAGGGAATCAGGGTAGACGGGGTGCAGGAAGTGCAGCTCCAGGATGCAGCCATCTGGCTGGGGGCATGGCACAGTCATGTTCATGTGGTAGAGGTGGAGCTCTGGACTCCAGGCCTGCAGGCTGGGCTCACAGGGCTGATCCACATCTGGGGGCCCTGGGCAGATGGGACAAGAAGGCAGCAGATGAGAACCATGGACAGCTAACTTTACAGGGGACACAAAGGGGCAATCCTCCTTGCAGCATCCCACAGGTGCTTAAGCACCTCTGTGCTACATCTGCACACCCATGCAGTTTTGCACTCACTATAGGCACATGCCAGAGCTGGTGGCATCTGCCCTAACATCATAGAAAGCAATAAGCACCACTAGTCTCCTAGCTCCTGGATATGCATAAAAGCACAAGATTTGGCAGATCTGCTGTCTCACAGCATTCTAAACCAGGGACAATGGTATCCATGCTGTAGCTGGTCACAGTGCCAAGCTCTAAAGACAGTCTGTACACAGCTAGGGGACATGAAGCTTGCTCTGTAGTCTCATGGGCACAGAAGGCTTACCAATGGCATCTGGATGTCAAGTCCCTGGGGCTCCATGGGTTTGGACACAGGCTAAACAGAGCAGAGACCAAAGCTTTCCACAGGCATATGCTGGAACAGGTCACAGACAGGAAGGGACCAGGTCCAAAGCAAGCCAGGGAAGCAGCTCTGGAAGCAAGCCCTTCAACTTGCAATGCTAGCAAGAGATACTTTAATTAAAGAGTTTTCAGACAAACAACCTCAGCTACATCCTGGAACTTCTCCAAGTGTGGGCTACATCCCAGAGGTGTCATAATGTCCAAACTGCACTTTCTCTGCAATCACCCTGACATATCTTCAGTTGACCTCAGTGGCTCAAACAGGCAGATGCACAGAACCAAGCGATCTTCTGGCTCCACACGGTTCAACAGCAGCCTGTGCACTATATACAGCTCATGAGATCATTTCACCTGGTCTCGTACCTCCTCTAGCTTTGCCCTTGGAGAAGCTGAGGCAGCATGGAAAGCACAACTCCTATGGCAGCTGCATGATCCTGGAAGTCACCAGAGTCTCAGCACAAAAGAAGTGGTAACATCCTGCTGTTCACCTTGGCAGGGAGGAGCTGCATCCAACCCAGATTGCCCAGTACTTGGTATAGACTCAGTGTGACTGAGCAAGAAGCTGCTTTTGCTCCCTTTGGACAAGACTGCAATAAAGCCTGTGAATACCCCTGAGGTTTTGAATGAGGTCCCAAGATCTATGTTTTAAGACTTTTATTTCAACAAAATGCCCCTTCCTTTGACAAGTATCTCTGACAACTTTTTGGGCAATGATTGCGGTTAATATAGGGGTGTCAGTTTGTTTGTCCAAAGGTAGCTGGAAGTTACCAGGTATTTCCTGGGCACCTAGAAGCCCTTCCTGCACTAAAGAGCCTCCCCAAAGAGGAGACAGCTTACTTTCTAAAATAAAAAAAGCTTCTTTTTATTTCCCAACAAGATCTCATCTGTGTTCGAGGGATTCAAGGCCATGGAAAGAGAAGAGACATTTACCTTCTGCTTCTTCTGGGGTCCAATAGCCAGAGGAATCGCAGACCCGAGGGGAAGAGGCCTCATGTACATACTGACGGAAGGTGCCATCCTCCGCACAGTCATCGCAGAGCATGTCCTGCTCCCTGCAGACAGGATACAAAGGCATTGGCATGCCTAATTGTGACTAGTTAATTTTCCATCCACCTTTGTCCAGACAGGATCAGATGGGAAGCTGGAAAAGCAAAGCTAAGCTTCCAGAAAGCCTCTGGGCATATCATCCTGCTTGGAATAAGCTTCATCAAAGACAAGAAAACCAGAGCGACTGGACCAATCTGGTTTTAATCTCCCCTCTTCTACATGCTCTATGGGTAGTCTTGGATGAGCCATTGAGTCAGCTATTCCCTACCCATGAAGCAGAACTAACAGACTTCACACTTTCTAGGGCAATGTCTCTACAGTTGGATGCACTTGGATCTATCTCTGCTAAATCCCAGAGACAGGTTTTGGCTTTCATCACTACTGTAATACAAAATGGTCACAATAATGTCAACTAAAGGGGGCCCTACTGTGCTCTCCAGGAAAGAAAAAGGCACTTTTTTGTGATAAGTTTCAGCCACTTTCCTTGACCAGTTCATCTCAGGTCCCCAACCATGGAGCAGCTCCTGAGACAGTTATGAGCAAGAGCTGGAGATGGATCTGATGACCCAGCACCTGCCTTCTAGACCCTTGTTTTCCTGCTCCCAAACCACTCCATTCTCCACCAGTTTGTTTGGATGACTTGAGGCCAGCCAGCACTCAGAGGCTCTCATGCCTGGGGGGTGACAGGCACATGCCCCTGTTATCGCTGGCTGAAAGGCACATTGTGGAGAGCATCAGTTCTTTGAAAAGGCAGCAAACACTGACCTAAGTGTCCCAGCTACCCTCAAACAGCACTGTTCTTTTAATTGCAAGAGACAGCTTTGTGAAGTAACTTTAAAACAATTTTAAGAGCTCTTTAACATGTGCTTATAGTCCCATAATAAAAGCATAGACCTAAAATCTGGTGGAAACCAAAACGTTTTAGTAAGAGGGACTGCCGAATAGGGGCATTGGTGGTGTATCCAGGTCTTGACGGCTTGCTAGTACTGGGGAGAACGAAGACAGCCACCCGGCACTTGGGCCCATGAACTGCTCACCAGCCAAAAAATCTCTGGTTCCTTGGCATCATTTCTCTGGCTTGAAAAGTTTCCTGACTTACCCCCAGTTAGTTACACTGCGAGTTCGTGACAGTGCTGGGAACGAAACCCAGCTCTTGCGGTTCGAGCTCCCTGCCTTAACCACAAGGCTGCATTTCCTCCTGGTAAATAGCTATTTTATACAATAAGTGCTAAATGAAGCTCATTTTTCATTCCGTGATTGCACTCTGGGGTTTAAGAATTGGCACTGTCTCCCAATGCTCTTTGGCTTCCCCTCCCGGCACCCTGACAGCAAAAAGCTTGCAGGAGAATCCATGTGCCAGCGGGGCCACTGCGGCAGCCCAGCTCTTGTGTCTGACAGCTCTGCTGGAGACAGCCAGGGGGAAAAGGGGATGTGGGGTCTGCACCATAGACGATCTCTTGCCCCTTCTAGCAGGGTCCTGTGCAATCCCAAGACCATTGCAACAGCAGATCCCTTACCTCTCATGGATGACACCACTGATGGGAGGCAGCCAGTAGATGCTGAGGGAGTCCTGTGTCTGCCCAGTGACCATGGGAGGGATTGGGATGGGTGCGGGCTTCTTGCTCTGGCCCCAGCGCTGGTACACCAGGTCCAGGTAACAATGCATCCGTGCCACTTGGTTAGGGGTGAAGGTGTTGGTACAATCGTCATCTGCGGGAAGAGAGGCCAGGCTGAAGGTGGCAGGGATGGGCCAGCGGGGGACGGCAATGTGCACACTTCCCGATCTCCAAACCCTGGTTTGGGAATCCCTAGGGAGACCTGGGAGACACCAGTGTGTGGGGGCTTTCCTGCCAGGACTCTCTAGTGTCGTGTGTCCCCAAAGCCACAAGATGGCACTGCTTCAGCAGCTCCACATCCTTGCGCTTACTCAACAGCAGCTCGCACCAGTTCTAGCACTTGGGCAGCGCCACCATCTTCATGGGACTCGCAGTGGGTCAGCAGGAGGTGACAGAATTGCTCTTCAGGCTTTGGTCCTCCTGGGCTGCCAGGAGGAAGACCAGCCCTCCACGACAAGGCTTTGGAAACCAAGACAAAAGGGCTCAACTCAAAGGTCAAAAATTATAATAGTAATAGTAGTAATAACAATTAAAAAAAATAGTAATAGTAAAGTTGTTTCAGGACTGGAGAACAATGGTACACCATCGTGCAGACAAGAACTGCCTTAATGCATGTCCAGTGACAGACTGGCAGGGAGGGAGGGATGGAAACAGCCTGCAGCAAGAAAGGGACTAAGAAGCTACTACAAGCACAGGCTGCAGCCTGTCACATCCCAACGCACCAGGAGGGACCACATGAGTTAGAGAACGAGAGAAGGGACTATTAATGGAAGCAGAAAGGAGAGAAACCCAGGTTTCTAGGGAAGGTGACCCCTTACAATTTCTAACAAGGATTACTCATTACCTGTGTAACTCATGTAGTTGTTGAAGGGCGTTCCCATGAAATGTGTCTGGCCACAGGTGTCATTGGTGGGGTCTGGATCCCGACAGAGTTTACTCTTTGGGGTGGGGGCAGTGTCAGCACAGAGGTCTCCCGTCTCCATGGATGGAGCTGTCTCTCTGCAGGGATCATCACAAGATTCCCGCTCGCTCACTCCCTTAAAGACATGGTACAGCCCCAGGACATGTCCCACTTCATGGATCATGGTGTTCATGTGGCCATGCATACCATAATAAGCAGGGTTGAGGACAACTCCACCTAGAATTGGAAATACAGAGAACATCAACGAAAGAAAGAGACAGCGGGCAGCTGCTGTTACTCACCTATGCTATATAAAAATCCTCTCATTGTGCTTCCAGGTCTCAAATTAGGTGCCATATGGAGACCTGAAGACAGACATATTCACCCTTTTGAAGGATGGGAAGAGGGCTCCTTTGCTCTCTTGGAGTGGAATGGGGTGGGTGGCTTTTCTTCCCCTTCTGATCACACCACTCCCCCTAACATCTTTAATCATTTCAGCTAGCATTTCCCTCTGTGTCTTTTCACTTGCTTCTAATTCAGAGCCTGCTTTGGTTCACACTTACAGCTCCAAATGAGGTTTGGAGCCAGGGCACCAAACCAAGGTATGCTGTGAGTTTACAGAGATAATCTTTTGAGCCAGAGGATAGAAGACCTTCCCTAGCCTAGACAGGTGGCTAAATCATGCCAGCTTCCATGGCAGGTGAGAGCAATGAGGTGCCTAGCAAAGTCCTAACATACTTGGCTGTGCCAAAATAGGAGCTGCTTTCGGCACAAGTCCACATGAAGAGTCAAATGCTCTGCCTCTGGCCCCTACTGAAAACATCAATGATCTATTGCTTCAACCTCCAAACCAGACTTTAAGGAGTAAATTAAAACTCTCATGAGGTGGTGTTGCAATCCACTAAGCTTCTACCACAAACCTGACCCAAATTCACTGTGTATTTTAGAGTGGGATATCCCAAAATGCAGCGTTTGAAGATCCCTTCTTCCCCTTCATAGTGGTTTGCATGGGCAAGGGGGCAAAAAGCAGACCCCAGCATGTGCCCAGGCTGTCTCCAAACAGTACCTCCATGACATAGGAAGCTGTTTTTACTCAACTACTTTTAACCCAGACAGCTTGGATGGCAGTGCAGTAAATAGCTGGCTCTGGCACACCTTGCTCCCTCCTTTGCAGGACCCTGGAGAATATACTGTGCCAGCTACCTCACAGCAGAGACCCACTGCAATTGCACCTCTGCTGCTGATTGCTGTCCCTGCCAGCAAAGTTAAAATTGGCAGAGGGCCACCATGTGATCCTGTCTCCAGCCACAGCATAGACTGCTTGAAATCTGCTCCTGAATCAGCTCCGTGCAATACTGGACTACCTCATGCCCTCAAGCATGGGGCATTCCTTCCAAGAGAGGGCTTTCTTCAGATCACAGTCTCCCTGGCAGGTCTGGGACTCCTGTGGTGGAACCATGCTGGGTGAACATTGGGGTGGGTCTAGAAAGGGGCCTTCAGTGACGCCCTGAGAAATTCTCTCAGGCCCAACAGAGTTGCAAAAGGGTGAAGAAAAGAAAAAGTGTGGCATCTTTTATGGAGCATCCTCTGTGTGTGGCTCATAGAAGGGCTGAGAAACACCACTGACCTGTCAAGTAGCACTGTTTCTTAGCTAAAAATTAATGTTTATTGTTCTTCATCCCCACAGCGTGGATGTTATGCTCAGTGCAGCTTGGCTTGAGGCAAAAGATGGGTCACAAAGTAGCTGCATTCCCTTTCTCCCCAGTTGTAAAACACCAGAATAGAGGACCTTGCATACCATCAGCCCGCTCTTGACCCTTGAGTTGACTGGAGATGGGCCACAAAAAGGTAGAGAGGTTGAAAAATCCATTTGGGACCTTCATGTTCTATCCTGTCAATCATTAGGTTTTTGCAAGCCATCCCCCTCTCAATTACCACACTGGTAAACACTATAGATAGCAAAGGGCATCCCATTGGTGGAGAACCCAGTGGGCACATAAAAAAAGGCTGCTCCTCATTTTAATCAAAACAGGGTGTAAGAGAACAGAAAGAAAAGGCATGTCTGCAGCCAAACACAAGCCTGAGCAAGGCAGGGGGTGCCTGCCCAAAGATCTGAGAGGAGGAATGCTCATGCAGAAAGAAAACAGTGTTCGTAAACAAATAAATGAGATGTGAAAACCCTGCACACATCCTGTGGCACTAACCACAAGGAACAGGTCTGAGCACGAGGGGTACAGGAGGCCCTGTGACCAAGCAGCCCTCCTCCCAGCAGAAACCCAAAATTCTTCCCATGCAGGGCAATAAATGGGATTACAGCGCAGGGAGGGAGAAAACTCTTACAGGGGAGGGATGCCAAGGCTGGGATACCCTGTCCCTCCTCTCTGCTGGCTTTCCCTATCCCATTCCTCCCACACACTCCACAAGGACAATCATATTTTTAGTACTTTTTTTTACAGCTAATTAGATGGCAGGATTAGAAACAGCATGAGAACTCTGCCTTCCTTCTAGAACATCTCTGTCACTCCATTCCCTGTCCCCGCAGCTCCCTGATGAGCTGGGAGAGCTCCCAGCTTTGGACCAGGAAGTTGCGTTTCCCCTCTGCAGGATCCTGGCTGTAAAGACAAGATATGGAAGCGTTTGTAACATCCCACCAAGACCAGTCTCCCCTCTCCCTCCTCTGCACATCAGGCTTTCTTCCTCACCTCTGCTTCCTCCTGTGCTGGGAGATAGGTTAAATTTGGCTTTAAGTTAACTCTCCCTCTCTTGCCTGAGAACCAGTGCAGGGAGTCGCCCAAGGTCAGCATTTACACAACCAAGCTAAAATCTTCTATGATGTCATGTCCCTTTGACATCAAGGAGGTCCAGCACTCCAAGGCAGGTGAACCAGAGTCTTCTTTGAATTTGCTCACCCAACCAAGACCAGGCAGCTTGAAAGCTCCAGGTCTGGCCTCTTCTTCCCCTTCCAGACCAAACCCCAGTCCCCAAGGCCAAGCCCCAGCTCTGCTCAAACAACAAGAGATGACCAATCCATCAGTACAGTGAATGATTAGCACTGGTGTGGACCGCACTTCACCTTCTCTCACATCCCTTGGCAGCTCTCAGTCCCAGGACATTGTCCCGCTTCTATCCATTATCAACTGCAATGCAGAAGGACTTGAGTTCAATCCAGCCCCCAAGAAGCTAACCTGTTCCTGGGTTAGGGCTGTTACAAAGGATGCATGCTCAAACAAGCACAGGAGATTTTTAAACAGCAAACCACAGAGCTGAACCTGCATCACAGGGCCAGTCTTCCCCAAACACTGAGTCACAGCAATTAATGGAACAAACGCATGACAGTTAGTCAGACAGGAAGATGGCGATTGCTTAAGGTACCTTTGATGGAACGGCTGGCCCTCCTTCAGGATCCACTGACCTCAGCCAGATATATGAGCTGGCCTCAGCTTATATAACTACAGAAAGTATTTATAACATCAAATATTCACAATTCCCTTGCCTTTTGACCATGTTTAAGCAAATACAGTTCACATGCAGCTTCACATGAAGTTTAAAGCATCTGCATTATTACAGGGTTTTTGAGGCAAGGCTTTCCACTGTGGAAAGCTAACTTTTTATAGGACACGACTTCTTCGACTCCTTGTGTTTTGTAGTTAAAAAGATTTACTTCTAAGTTCTCAGAAAATTCATTCCAGACTCCAAGTAAGAACTTTGAATCTGAGAGCAACTCACTGTGATTATGGTGGAAAGACTGAGACAGACAGTATGGTTAGAGGGCGTGGTGCAAACAGACCTGGGATCTTCTACCTCTCCTGCTAGCTGGCTGCAAGTTGTCCATATCTAAGAGCTCCACAGCAGCTGAAATACTGCCTACAGAAGTATCATAGACCAATTTACCCTCTTCAACTCAATATATTATCTCTTGTACTTCAATAAATGTAGTTGCTGTTGGTTGGTATTACTACTGGTCTAAAATGGTAAATCAATCCTAAACTTTTAGAAGGGCTGCCTGAAATTCAAATTTACTCAGGAGAGTAATCTGGAGGAGAGCAATAGATCTCTAAATCATCAGCATAGGAATGGTCACTTAATTTCTGGTAGCCCAAAACAAGCACAGGTGAAGAGAAGGGGATGAAAAACAAAGTTCACTAAAGACTTCCAAAAGCTGAAGACACCAACAGGAAGATGAGGAGGACCCTCTTGAAAGACGCACTCAAAGGTCATAAAGACTGGTTTAGAAGGTGTTCAAAATCCAGATGGCAGATTAAAAAAAACATCTAGAGAAGAATTTATGGAGAACAATTTGGAAACAGTATGTTTATTGAGCTTTGAGATGAGAGAGTCTGTACGTGCATAGGGAAAAATCAGCGTGGCATTTCTGCTCCATGGGACCAAATAGTGCCATGAGGAGAGCAGGGCCTACATGCTGACCTTAATATTTTAAGGTCAGGACAGACAGGATATTAGCAAGAGTCAGCACAAGTGAAGGAGTCTGTCTTTTTGGAGAGACAGACCCTTCTCATGTAAAGATCTGTCTCCATCCCTAGTCACCGTAGGTCCTTAAAGCTCAGGATATTTTCCTCAAACTACTATTCACTCCTCCCAAGGTTTTCCTTGATCTTGCCTCACTGCTTTACCTTCACATCTACTCAGATTCTCCAGTAGCCTCTGTTGAGAGCTTTTGTTGAAAGCCATATATTCATGATCTGCTCAGACCTAAGTTTCTTCCATGCTGGAAAATAATATACATTGTGCCTGGTACAAAACCCTTGGGTGGAGCCTGTTTACAGAGAACAGAGTCCACCACCCACCCTCCCATGTTCTATAAATCTAAAACCAAGGACAGTCTGGAACAAATGTCTTCAGTCTGCCAGAGCCTCAAAGAAGTTCGCTCCCAGCTTCATACTTCACAGCTCTGGCACTAGAGCCAAGATAACATCTCTTTGCCGCTGAACCTCCATGGTAAAACCCTAAACCAACATTTCCAAATGGTGCCACCTCTTGTGTCCCTTACTGGGCACAAAGTCTCAGACTGGACCTAAATGCAAGCTTTTGATGAAACCAGTCACCCGTTTACCCCTCCATACAACTGCTTGCAAACCTTTGGGAGGGGTCTTAGGAGAAAATGTATGGCTGAAACACTGGCTGTAGTAAGATGATTGTCAAGCTGAGCCCTGGAAGTGATTTCTGGAAGCTGAAGGAATAAATTTCATGGAGATCTGCCTTCCTCAACAAGCAACTGCAGCAGTACACTACTGAAAAAACAGTTCTGAAACTTGCTGAGGGAAACTGGCAAAAAAGAACTTTAAAACAGGTCTTTAAAACTTTGAAGGTTTCAGCATCATGCACTTGTAAAAGCAGAAGGTCTAGGTCTTTTGTGCAGGTGTCAGGAGTAATTATTTCCAGTTACTTACTGAGAAACACTTTAGATGTTTTGACTGCAAAGTGTAAAGGGCTTTGCCAGAAACCCCTGACATTGAAGAGGTGGAGGGAGAAGCAGGAAAAAGAAATAGGGGAAAATACACAATACATTTACATTCTAGTGAAGCAGTTGCCCTTTCGACTGTTTGTAGCCTGCCAGGGCTGATGCCCTTGAGGGTCTGCCTTGAATTCACTGAAGTCAAGAACCTTGCCTCCAGCAAGTATCAAGCTAAGTTACAAAAACATGGTTTAATTTCACAGTCATCCTCACATTTGCAGCTGGATTCAGAAGCTGCCACTGCTCACTGCCTGGTCAGGTTTGGAGTCGCTCAAATCTCGAGTCTCAGCTCTGAAATCACCGACATTCCTGGTTTATCTGTTTGTCAGTACAAGGTGCAAAGGGAACTTCACCATTTCAAGAACCCTGGAAGACAGACCTGGAAGGTCCCAGAGAAGCCAAATACGAGTCTAAACCCCAGTCCAGAGCCTGCACTGATAGTGAACCTGTAGTTCTCCCAAAGGTCTCTATCTCACTGTCTAACTGCCTTCAACATTAGAAGTTTCTCACAGCAATCTGGAAGCCCCTTGTCAGGGTGTAACCCCACAACTTTATCCACATGGACACAGGGAACAGGCAGCTCCTTTTCTTATAGCAGCAGATGTTGCTACACAAAAAGCCTGTTATCATGACTTTCTTATTAAACATTCTTAATGTTCAGCCAAATCGTGGGTGCCTCTTTTGCCAAGTCAACCAAGAGGGAAAAAAGCCAACAACCCTGAGACCCCATGAGTGGGACAGCTCACTTACCCAGGTAGCTAAGGGCTTCTTTATCCCATGGCCAAGTGGCAGCACCAGCCAACTCTTCCCTCACCGAACTGGCGAAGTAAACGTTGAGGAAGTGGGTGCTGTTCAACTGCAGTGCCTCCTTCAGCTCCTTCACACTCATGTATGCCCTGTGAGGACAAGGGAGAGGAGATAGTCAGCATAGACCTCAATGGACCAAAAAGCAAAAGCAGGTGCGCCTGAAAAGGGTGCAGCAGACCTGGAGACCCCATCCTCAACTCTCTGAAACCAACAGCATTTGGTAAAGCATGCCAAAATTCAGCAAGTTTCAACAGGATGTCCCCTGACACTAATTCTGCAACCTCTGCTAGTGAGGGATTTGAGTGGGAGGAAGTCATGCAAATCTGAAGAAGTTTTGCTAATTACAGTAGATTTGTTGATGACTTCTACTCTTAGAGGTTTTCCAACAACAGGGACAGAAGAGGCTCCAGTGAATAGGTATAACAGGAGACAAAACGGGAGGAGAAACAATGAGATAGGAAAAGAAATGTATAGGTCAGTCCTGCAAGGAGAAAGAAAAAGTATAATTTGAAGGGTGGGAGGGGAAGTAAGTTTTCCTCAAGGTGTTAGGAGAGAGAAAAGAATCAACAACTCCAGCTAGTTCCAACAAGGGTTTTCAGGGATTGTCCTGGATATAGGGCAGGGCAGGAATGGACAAACCTCATTCTTGTGAGCAGAAAGTGTTTGCCAGCTAGGGCCAAGAGGTCTCTTCTCCAGCTTCTCTAGCCTGACTCCCTCTACTCTATCCTCTTCCCCAAGATCAGTATGCCGGAGGTGGCAGTGCATCGTAAGAACAAGGGGTCCCTGCAGAGCACAGGCACATAACACGCCAAGAAACATGCTGCCTCACCCCCATCCCTGTATATTGTGTAAGGAAGAGCATGAGCAAAAGGAATCTCAGAATTTGCTCCAAGAAATTTCTCTTCCACCTCAGCTCAAAACAGACCTTGAAGAAAAGTGCTGCCTGGGTCCAGCCAGCACTGAGCCAACAGCAGGGCCTTCTTCACATGTATCTGTCTCTCTGCACATGATCTGAATCCTCTCTGAGAGGAGGTCTGGGATGTCTGCAAGAGCCAAGGCAGGGAAGCACAGGAGCTCCCAAAATAAGCTTAATGGGGAGAGGAGGACATCTCTGAAGACAGATGCATCAAAGGGCATGTTCAGTTGAGAAAGCTGTCTGACAACACTGCTGTCTGTCTATCTTCCCATCTCCAGAGGTGAAAATAAAGAATTGCAAGAGGAGTAAAAAAATACTGGAATGAGGATATTCAAGACATCCATTTCTAAAGGGCACAGAAAGGTAATGGCTGGGAGAGGTGGGTAGGCAACAGACATTGCAGCAGAGCAGTAACACCCATGGGTACATCTGGGTGTCCAAAAAGTAATCCTCACAATGTGGCATGTCTCTCAGCACTTGGAGAAAAAAGTAACCCAGCAGTCAGGAAATTTAAATTTCATTCTTCCCTCTGCATGGCTGTTTCTGCACAGTTCAGAGGTCTATATTGCATTCACCAGTACATCAACAATCCCAGTGTTGATCTTTAGGGAGTTCATGTTCTCAGCTGTGTAAAATGATGAGGATCTAACTTAATGATAATAATAATTCCAATAGTAATAGCAGTAGGGCCTTGTGTTGTGCTGCAAATGACAGATACTCTTTTAAATCAAGTACTAGCATTTCCACCACTGATTAATGGCACCATTAATCAGTGCCATTAACCTCATGGACTGAGACATGATTAGGACAGGTAGCCCTAGAAGACATTGTCTTTAGGTCTTAAAAATCTGAGGACCCTGACCTGTAGTTTGTGAAACCATTAACTGAAGAGATTCTAAGGGAAAAAACTCATGGAAAGGCTTCAAATACATCACTGTAGAATGATGATGGAAATGCACCATTGTGGAAATATGTCATAAGAATGACTAACCTGCAGCATAAGGCCAACAGCAACATTAAGGTGGTGGAAAGCATTTCACTAATTCCCATGCTTCCAGGAGCAATTGGCATCTTTAAATGCACAATGCGATCATTTCTTTGTGCTGGACTCGCCATGAAGGCACACCAGCTATATTTGAACAAGGAGCTTCTGTAAAAGTGGTGTCCATTAGTGCATTCCTTACCACAGTGAATTATAGAAGGAAAGACAAAAAGTTGAGCATAGGCTAAAGGGAAAAAAGGCATATTCTCATCTGAGATGTGAAGTGAGAAGGGAAACCAATGAGAGATGTGCAAATAGAGTGTTTGAGATGGCAGGATACGTAGTCAAGTTATTATACCAACAGATTTGTTTAGAAAGAGAGAGGTTGCTACAGCAAATGGAAAAGAAGGAGGAAAAAGTGAACAGAACTCCAGAAGTAGACTACAGCAGGATGCATGTGGAGCTGAGCTCGGTAACCCAAGGCCACTTCCCTGGATATGAAATAGCGGAGACTTTCAGAAGCCATTGCTGACTTGGGAGATTTCAGATGATCAGGATCTGCTGACTATCTCTGCCCTACTTGTCAGCCCCAACAGGCCATCCTGAGCTGGAGACACCTCACCCACCTTCCCAGTGAACAAAGCAGCTCTGAAACTCCAGTTACATTAGAAAATCTTGGCTGGACTGTATGGCATCATTTAATGGCGAGATGAGATGACCAGCTTGTCTTCACCAAGCCCTGAGATCTCCCACCACAAAGCAGCATTCCCAGAACACTTTCCCCAGCCACATCAGCTTGTGGAGAGAAAACTCTCCCAACCGGAAACGACAAATTAGGAGAACACAATCTCTTCTCTGTGATGTCTCGCCTGAGCATCCCAGACACGCGCCACGCTGACGCCATCCCTTCAACCCAACCAAGACGGGAGCAGGCCGGGAGGAATAGATAGGGAGAAGAATAAACAAACCTGAAGAACATATTTGTGGCATGACGCAGAAGGAAGAGAAGCAAAAATTTCATAGAAATAGAGCATAAGGAGGGGGAAGGGGGGGAGAAAGTCTCCTTCATGCACCAGAGCTGCTCGGGGGACACAAACTTAAAAATAACGTTGATTCCTGACCTATGATATCTTGGAAAAACAGCCCTGAGTCCTTCTAGACTATCCAAATTCCGAGAGCTGATGTCAGCCCTATTCAGAGGGATATTCCCGACGCCCCTCTTGTGGAGACATGATGTTTTTCTGGCTGTCGCCTGCCATTCCCTTGACACTAGCAACATTTTTTGTCAACCCTTAATTATAAATAACTCTAATTTCCTCCATTGAGAGATCTGGAAGGTTCAGGGCTGTGTCAAGGAAAGAGGGAGCAGTGCCAGCACTGGGATCCTCAGATGAGTTGGATGGACAAGAAGAAGAAAGGACCCCAATTTCACCCACTATGGCATGGAAAGCACAAATACCCTGCTGGTGTTTCCAAAGTCATGAGCAAGACCAAAACAGCTCTTGAATGGGCAACTCCAATTCTTCTCAATCCACATTTCTCACTGGCATCCTTAGTTTAGACAAGGAGCACTTGTACTGCCAAGGTTATGCTCTCCCTCTTCTTTAGCGCTTCTGTGATTTTCCCCAGTGGGAAGGCAGAGCAGCCTTTGGACTCCACAGACAGCGTAAATGACAGCCCTCTCCTCTGCTCCCCAAATAGCTTCCCAATGCCTACAAGACAAGAGTATTCCAGACTAGAGGGTATTTACAGCAGGGTGGGCACTGCAAGCCAACACACAAACACAGGGAGGGACAGGACACATGAAGGTACAGCTATCAGCTGTACCAACCCCAAAGGATAGAGCACAGTATAGAAGGGAGACAGAGAAGGGCCATCACATCATCAGGTTTGCCAGATCAAAGCAAAAGTTTTTCCAATAGCATCTAAAACTCACGGGTGAGCAGGTAGCTGCATGGCAATACCACCTTGACCTGGGGAGTATTTGCACCCCTGGGAGACTGGAGCTTTCAAGAAAAGTATATTCAACAGTAGAGAGAGATCAGAGACAGGAGGGATATGGACTGCCATTATTAGAAATGAGCACAGGCATGTACGCCATGTGAAATGATGGTATTTGAGGGAATGAGATCAGATATGATGGCCTCCCTCATGACAGGGATGCTCACCTGGGACGCTGCTGACTTAAACTTCTTCTGAATGACACTAGCTGACAATCTGACTCTAAGGCAGACTTAGGCACCACACTGCATATTGTTTTACTTGTGAGACTCATGATTGACAGAAGACAAGGTGGAAGAAGCAGCACAGTAGAGCCACACTGATGCTTGTGTGGTCCTGGTGTTAGGTCAGGAGCACATGGCTCTGTGGAACATAATGATGTGCTGTCATTGTGTGACATTTCATGCTGTTGAAAAAAGGAAAGGAAGATGAAGTTCAGCAGCTTCAGTGACTGTGTCACCAAAAAACAGTGGAATCAGAGACTCATATCTGTGGATAAGGAGGATCTCCACAAGTCATCTACTCTGACCTCTTGTTCAAAATAGGTCTAAATAATGTTGCTCAAGGCAACATCCAGCCTGAACAGCTACAAGGAGAGAGGTTTTCCAACCTTTGCTAGCAACCTATTCTAGTATTTAACCACACTTGGTAAAAAATAAAAAATTCCTAATGTCGAAACCAAATTTCTCATGTTCCAAATTCTCTCTATTGCTTCCTGTCCTCTGTCTTCTTGGAGTCCTGCTCCATCTTCTCTCTGTCACCCCATCAAATCAAAGGGGAAAATCATCAAATGACTGTAAGCTTTGCATGGAAAAACTATTACTGCACTAGACTTTACCACACTAAGAAACCCAAAGCTTCCTTTTCAAGCAGCTGAAAAATCACACTCCATCCACGATCCCAGGCCCCCCTGGAGAACCCTCACAACCTTTTCTCATGCTTTTCCCTCTGCAATTTTGCCTTAACTCATGGGGCAGACAGCATCTTTCTACTCATGGTTGCAGGTCAGGCTCTGGGCTACCTTGGTCAGAGGAGAAGACCTGACATACTCTGGAGAGACAGAACTGTTGCTGCTTTTCCAGGCAGCAATTTCTGCAGCAACAACAGGACCACTGCTGGTGGACAGGTGGGAGAGAGGAGAGGATCTACTAATCTACAGGACAGCAGAATGGCCAATCAAGCTGTAACAAAA